TTGGGTTTACTGGCTAGGCATTTCCTCGACTGGGCAATAATTCGGGGTAGTAGCAGGGTCCACGTCCCTCGTGCGTCTTCTGGATCATCTCCACAATTCCGCAACCCCACACTGGATCGACACTACTTTACAATACTAACACGACGGCCTTATATAGGCCGCTTTCGCGCCATTACACGACCTATCTAGGAGGGAATCATGATGCAACAGAAGTCTTTCAATTTCAGGCAAAAATGATGGGGCAAAATGAGGTAAATCAGGGTGAGTTAGCCGGAAAATCAGGTAAATTTGATGGGATAGGAAAAATTCATTAGCAATATTACAATCTAATTGTAAAAATTCAAGCGATAAAGCACTTTTTTTCAATGATACTTACTTTACGTGTCCCCTCGTTACTGCTTCCCGTTCCGCTGTCTTCGCTGTGAATGTTTTTCTTTTTCAACTTCACCGGTGAACTCTTTTCATGCTCCGAACTAGGCGAACGGGAACGCTTCCTGAAACAACAATTCATCCTGGTTTTGTATCTGCAAACTGATTCACTATCGTTTTTTTTTTCGAATTTTTACAACTAAATTTTATTACAGCTATTTCAGGCAGTATGCTCAACAAAATATTGAGTCAGCGAGGAAGGAATTTTCTTTTTTTCAAAAAAAATCTAAATCAAAATTATTAAAAAAAAATCCAAAATCCAAATTAAAAAATCTAAATCCACACTATTTTTGCAAGCAGCCAGAAACATACCCAAACTTCTCAGAATTATTAAAAAAAATCCAAAGTCTAAATCCACATTATTTTTGCAAGTAGCCAGAAATATACCTAAATTTTTAACCAATTTTATAACATTACGGCAAATAATTTCCTCTACAACTTCAAAGCTAAAAGTTTTATTAAGCATATAAGATTGCTGGCCCATGTTATCCCCTTATGTCACGAACTAGGAATTTTTGAAACAAAACGAAACAAAAAAAACAGAAATTTAAGAGGAATTATTGAAAGCAGAAGATGTAATCGAAACTTCACCCGGATAACTTTCTTTAGTCCGTTTTATAAGTGTCTTTAACGACATATTTTTGATTACTATTTCCTCAAATATGCAAAAATATAATTGAAACTTTCTATGAATTAACAACTATTTCAGGAATTTTTTTTTCAGGGATTTCAAAAATTTCCACATATTCCAGGAACCATGGGCATAATTTACCCAAGTTGGGGTTAAGAGAGCAAAAATTACCTTTTCGGTTTGAGGCCGCAGCTGCGTGCCATGTCCTTCCATTTTTGGACGATACGAAGCGCTTCCGGGCCATGTGTTTCGTCATTTCTTAGCTGATTCACCGCTTTTCCAACACCCGTTGTTGATAGAAGCGCCAATGTCATCTCGATACTGGCTAGACGCCGCAATGCGTGGCCAATCTGCAAATTATCAAAATTACTGAATCTTTGCCAAGGATTTGCATAAAACGGATTAAAATTAAAGCTGGAACCAGCGGAGGCATCAATGGAACTAAGAAGGTTTACTGCTGTTCTTGAAGCATTACAAAACCACGTGGAACTTTAATTTTATGCCTGGAAAAGGTAAGGAATATAAATGCAAAAGTTAATGTTACGCCTGAAAGATGTAAGGAATGCAAGGATGGGAGAAAGGATGAACGAAAAGGGGGGTTTGCAGATCCAACCCCCGCACACTACTCTTTTGTTCTTTTCCTCTTTTTTTATCAAAAACATAGCCCATCTGGCATAAATAAATCTATAATCGACTAAAGGCCAATCACGTGTTTTTGCTAGGGAAACTACTGTGC